AGTGGAAATCAATCAGAAAAAGCTCTATTGTTATTATTACACTTCAGGTAAATTTTTAACATTGAAGTTCAAATTTCAGGTAAAATCCTCCATACACCACCCCCCCTGCCAACTTCAGATGCTTCCTATAGAAATTTGTACTACAAAACCAGCCTCGTACCCAGGCGCTATGTGTTGTTCTGGGCTTGCGCGGCCTTTGCGTGGGCCGCGTGGATTAATTTGATCGATTTCATGGTGAGGCGCCTGGCAGAATCCGTTTCGATTTCTGGAGCGGATTGAGATTTCTGGAGCGGACTCAATAAACTGGATTTTTAGAGGTTTGAAATACTACCTTTCATTGAAAACTGTATGACATTGATGAACCTTTCAAAAGAATAACTGTTAAATCTAAATTTGTGCGAATATCGTGCTTATTTAAACTACACAAAGTCGGGTATATTAAAATACTATATAATTTATAGTCATTATATTATCAAACAGCCTAGTGTAAATTCGTTTTCGAGTGAATCTACGTAGCCTTCGTTGTTTCACGGTCGCTTTATGGATTGAATATGTCACAGATATTTCATTGCAATATGATGAAAGGCATCAGAATACCGATCTCAAGAGGCTCCATCTTTGGCTCCATCTCAAAGAACGCGGCGGCCTATTACTATAGGCGGCGGCAAACAGTTTATATTTGTAAACAGTCACAACAATAGATATTCGTGTCGTCCTGTAGAGTGTAGTACAGTCATTTACGTTTAATATACTGGATTTAAAACATGATGAGAATGATTAAAATGACGAAAAATATAACTAGGTTCAAAATAACCAGTGATTTGCAAATAAAACATGAATTGGCAAGTAATAAAAAGCGATATATCCGCACGACAACACCTGGCCTAGCCAAGGTCAAAATATAATATTATTTATAATAACTATATATGGCTATATTCGAACCATATGGCTCTAAATTATACAAATCTTGACAAATAAATCAAATTTTGTATCTCAACTACAAATTTTGAGGTTAATACGATAACTACAATGCGTGATATAGAACAAAAACAGCAAAATCATGACACTAGCTGTAGTGACTGCATAGTTAATATTAAAACAGTATGAACAAGGCAAACTATTAAAAGTTTAAGTTAAATATTGCACTCTTAAGAGTAATGGCAATGTACGAACACGTATTTTGCTGTAAACAATGTCATTTCAATAATAATATAAATAATATAGAACACTTGCAGAACACTGACCCGCCATTTTGAATGCGAATTCTACCAGGCGCTTCCCGCCGAATTTTCCATTTTTCTGCCTCGCGTGCCGTCCCACGTGCGCTTAATGGCGTAAACAAACCAAAGCGCCTGGGCTGGTAAAGTGAGGAAAATATAGCCATGCGAAATTTGCAAATTTTGTATATTTTGTGTTACCTAAATGTAGTGCATTTTCCCGCGCGTAATACAAATTAATACAAAATTTGCAAATTTCGCAGGGCTATATTCTCATTTTACAACACTTCGCAACCAAACTTTGCAATTTTACTAATTTTAACATGCTCTTTCTAGCTGTGGTGATGGATTTTGTTCTTCTTGCCTAGATCAAAATTTAGTCTATGGCTGGAATTGCCCATTTGGTTTTGGTGATATACGGAATGCCCAAAATCGTGGTATCTTAGTTTATAATGTTTAATTTCTTGATCTATAGTGTCCTGACTGGCCATAATCACTACGTTATGTGTGCTCGCTTTCATCCAAGCGAAGATCTGGTAGCTTCGGCATCGCTCGATCAGACTGTCCGCGTCTGGGATATTTCTGGCCTTCGAAAGAAAACAGTTGCCCCAGGGTCGCAAGGAATCGAAGAACGAATCCGAAACGTACATCAAACTGAGTTATTTGGTCAGTCAGATTCTATAGTCAAGCATGTGCTTGAGGTATGTGTGTAAAAAATATTTACAAATGTGATAATACTGCATGTATACAGGGGCGGATCTAGCCTCATCTGCAAGAGGGGTGCAGGTTTTCCATGGGGTGCTGCATGAGGGAGCCTTACTGCCCACTCTCCTCTGCAGTCTGCAACGCTACTATCCCAACATTACCATTATTTGAGATGGCCGAATCTGCATGTTCGCCGTTCTGTTATGTTTTACATTATCTTTTGTTTATAAAGTTTATATCGGCTTTTTATCACGTATGCGTGACTGGACAGTTGTTGTAGCACAGTACGGTAAATTTGTTTGTTAAAGTACAGTATATTTGAAAATATGGCTGTATAACAACCTCGACATGTTTAGTAATACGTATTTAACCATGATATTTAACTAAACTACTAAAGCATTCTGAGTGTTTTCTCGTGAGCTCACAAATCAATTTAAATTGTTTCAAGAAATCGACACGCTCTTCTGCAAGGAGGGGTGCATGTTTTCCATGGGGTGGTGCATGAGGGAGCCTTACTGCCCACTCTCCTCTGCAGTCGACAACGCTACTATCCCAGCATTACCATTATTTGAGATGGCCCAATCTGCATGTTCGCCGTTCTGTTACGTTTTACATTATCTTTTGTTTATAAAGTTTATATCGGCTTAACCTTTTTATCACGTGTGGAGTACTCGGTTACTCGAACCGACCAGACCGCGTAGCTCAGTTGGCAGCGCATTATTGGGCTAGTATTCCAAAGGTCGTAGGTTCGATTCCCACCGTGGTCAGGCATATTTTTCAAGCTTGCCCGGTGTGGATATACACTCAGAGTAACATCACAAGCATCATATTCACCTGACTACATTACACCAACACAGAAAAAA